GAGCGGGGGGGGGGGGTTTAGCCTACAGCTTGCACAGGTTTGTCTTCGCTTAGGAAAGACGGCTCCAGAGCAGTATAATTTAAGCAGCAGTGGCAGAGCCCACTCGGGGCTCCAACGACGGGCACTGCCCACGCCTGGCCTTGCGAGACCGCCGCCCCTCCCCGTTGGTACCTTGGGCGGAGAGGAGGATGCAGAAGGCGGCGGCGCCCAGGAGGACCAAGGCGTGCAGCGGGCAGAGAGCCATCGGGCCGGCGGACAGGCGAGTGGTGGAGCTGCTGGGCACGTCAAGGGTCTGCGGAGGGTCTGAGTGGCTGGAGGCATCCTCGGCGGGGCCCTTTATAGCCCCCCAGGCCGGCTTTCGCTTTCATTTCGCCTGCCGGGACGAGCCCACCGCCGGGGCTTCCAGCACTCTCCTCCTCCTCCTCCTCACCTCCTTCCTCGGCGACTTTGTTCCCAGGCCTTTCCAAAAGGCAGATTCCTGCAAGTGGCCTGGCGCCGTCCCAGCACTGCAGCGCCCTGATCACGCGTCGCCCGCCTGGCTGACCGGCCTCCACTTGCCCTGGCCGCGCCCCGGTGCCAACACCGACGTCTTCGCCCTGGCCCTGCTCCTCGCCCAAACCAGCCCCTCCTCTCCTGCGCACCGACCAGTCCCGCACAAGGGCGCCGGGTGACCCGGTGGTGGTGGGGAGGGCAGCCTCCCCCCACGAGCCACCTGCCGCTTCCTGCGCCTCTTGCAGCCTCTGGGCTGCTGGGCCAGCCGCTTCCCGCGCCCTCCCTCAGCCCGCCGGGCAGCGCTTCAGCCGGGGCGGGCCTTGGCGGCAAGCGTCAGCCCCCTGACGCCGACTCGGCGTCCAGCGCCGCCGCCGCCGCCGGGAGCTGCCTGCTCTTCCTTCTGGGTGAGTCACACGGTGGGGTTGGAAGGAGGCCTGGCCGGACCGGCGGGGGCGTTTCGGCTGGCTGGCTGGACGCTGGGGAGGGCTCGACTTCCGCCATCGACGCTTCCCTTCGGCTCCCGAGAAGCCAGGCCCTCCCCTTTGCGCCTTTCCCGCGCAGGCGGCTGCTGGCCAAGGGGAGAAACGGCGGCTGCGCGTTGCTCCGACCCCTTCCCGTGAGCGCTAGAGATGGGTCGGCGGTGCTCGCGGGAGCTGCCCGGTGGAGTTCTTCTTCCGCCTCTCTCCTGGTGTCTTGCCGCTGTGTCGTCACGACACGCAGCCTTTCGCTCCTCACTGGACGTCGCATTTAATGTTAGGCTTAGGGGGAACATTGCTCACAACAGTCGTGCAAAGTCCAGGAATTTTTAAATCTAAGGTGCACGATTCTCTCCCCCCACCCCCTTCCCTCTCTCTGCGTATAAGAAGAAAAACCATACAGGATTTTCTGAACTGCGTCTGATGAAGTGGGCTTGAAGATGGCACAAAAGCTGTTAAGGTACTACAGGACCTTTGTTTGTTTCGCTGCGGACAGACAGGGATACAGCGCTGGAACTTGCACAGTAACGGTTTCCCCCCATATGGTGGGGTGGGTAGTTGAGACAGGGCGACTTGCCGCAGTCCCCCTGCTGATGGGGTCTAGTGAGCAAAAATTCTATTTTGCGAGCCACTGGCATTAAAATTGTGAGCGAACAATTTGGCTGCTGCATAAATTAGTGGGCTCTGGAGCCATCCCTTCCTGAGCCAAGACAAAAATGTGTGAGCTGGAGGCTAAAAAACTGTGAGCTAGCTCACACTAACTCAGCTTAGAGGGAACACTGGTTGAGACAGGGCGGCTTGCCGCAGACCCCCTGCTTAGTTCATGACCCCTTTAAGGTGAGAACTTCCTAGAGCACAGATCGGTTTTTGCACTACGGTCAAGTGGAGAGCTAATCCGCAATTTTCATGCCTTTCCTTCCAAAGAAGGGTTTGGTACAACACTGTGCCGGCCTTGATCCATCTAATTGTGATGAGATTCACTGCCCTTTACACTGCACTTTAAAGACTAAAAATAAACATTTTTAAGGTGAGCTTTCAGAAGTCATAGCTCGCTGCTTCGCATATCTGAGGGAGTGAGCTGTAACTCATCAAAGCTCATCTTGAAATACATGTTGTTAGTGTTTAGGGGGCCACTGGACTTTTGTTTTATTTGCTAAAACAGACTGACAGGGCTAATACCCCTTTGCAGTTCTCTTGACAAGGCAAAGACAGTTCTTGAGTGACCAGACATTTAGCATAAAAATACCAATGCTATACATTTAAGGCTGCTTCTTACATAATATCTTGTATTTGTATCTTTAAATGCATCTTGGATATACATTTGTTCTTTTTAATGAAGTAAGTTTTCCTGGTAAATGAAATCCTCTGCCTTCTCTTTGCTTCCTTATATCACTACAAGACTTTTAAAGCAATTTTATTATTTATTTGTGTATTCAATTTATTTATTATTCTACTTATACCCTGCCCTCCCTGCATTGTAGTATCTCACTATATAAACAAATATTTAGCATAGGTGCTGCACAGTTTTATTGTCTGTGTCTCTTGCAGAGTTTCCAGTTGAAATGAAGAGACTTGCATTGGACTTAACAGCCTGAATCGATGAATTGTAGTGCCATCTACAGGGAGAAACGGTCATCTGATATGGCATTTCTGCGCTTCAGTATTGTGAGCAAGCTCTTTTGGAGGAAAAGAGGCTCACTTGTCCTGAAACTGTTATGTTTTACTCTTCCTGTGATTGTCTTCTGTGAATTTTTAATTTATTACATAGTTATAATTCAGTGTCACTGGCCACAACTGAAAACTCAGACTCTAGAAGGCACTGAACAGACTTCAGAGTCTGTTTTGAAGGCTATGTTTTTAGCAGATACTCATTTGCTTGGTGAAATCCAAGGACATTGGTTGGATAAGCTAAGGAGGTAAGAACTGACTGTAACTGATTTTTTTGTGGGGAGGGGGGTTGGATTGTGCCCTGTGACACTTGTTGAAGAGAGAGAGGCACACACAAAAACGATTCCCTAACTTTATCAAGGAGGAAGGCTGGTTCTTTGCATATCTGCATATCTCTTTCCTTTTAACACAGGCCCGGACAAGCTCTTTGTGATATTAATTCGAAAGTCTTGGGACTGGTACCTCTTTTTCTTCTCTTAGAGAATGGCAAATGGAAAGAGCCTTCCAAACTGCCCTACGGCTGCTGCAGCCAGAAGTTGTTTTTATTCTAGGTGACATCTTTGATGAAGGGAAGTGGAGCTCTTCTCAGGTCAGTATTGTGTGCAATGCTAAAGTATTCTTGAAGAAAAAATAGGGTTTTATTGAATTAGTTGTGCACAAAAGCACAGGGTCAGGGAACGAATACGTTTCTTTGATGTGGTCTTCATTTTGTGGCCATGTTTGTGAATCAGTAGCTTAATCCATAATCAAGTTAAAGAAAACTACTTTGAAACCATTGTTCTTGTACTTGCCATATATCCTGGCATTTCATTTTAACTAGGTAGTGTGTGGGAGTCTTTTGTGTGTTTAAATCTAGATTGATGCTCAAGAGAAAGTGGATTGAACTAGGATATGCTGAGTAGTGTAATCTGGGCACAAGCTGAACCAGTAATACAACATCCAGTAGCACAGAGTTGCTGAAAAGCATCCATTCATGTTGTCTCAGAAATTAAGCAATGATCCTTTGCTTACAGAATTCTTTGTCATTGTTGTTGTCAGAACAGTTAATGGCTCAAGAAGGAAATTGCTGCTTGATCATTTTTTATAATATAGTGTTGCATTTGAAAAACAAGATACTTTGTGCGTTACTCTGTGTGTGTTTGTATGTGCTTATCTTAAAATGTATCAGGGCTGTGGGCATCTCTCACAGAAAGCTGGTCAGAGTGCCTGCATTCTGAAAGCTGTCCACAATTGTAGTTGAAATATTTCCAATTTCCAATTTATTGCATATGGCCAATGGCCGTTACAAATACAATACAATACAATACAATACAATAGAACCTATAAAATACAGAATAAAATCTGCATAAAACACAGGGATTAAAAATATAAGATATGTGTCAAGCATAAAGCTGGCTACATTCTTAAAATAATGTAAGATAAAGAACTAAAACATACAGAATGGATATAGGGTTTGGAGTAAGGACCTTATATACCTTGACATAGCCCTGGCTACTTAGCAGGCAAAGATTTAGTCAACTTGATTCTTTGTTGCTAGGGCAAAAAGTGCAACCTTGTACGAATACTCTGCCTCCACTTCTGCAAGTAAAGGTATAACTTTTCCAGATATGGAGCAGGGGCCCAATTTATCTAAGATTGTGCCAAGAAACTTCTTTCTTGGGGATGAATAGAGTGGGCAATCCCAGTTGGAATATTAATACCGTGTAGGTAGCTGGTTTTAAACCAGGTTATGGCACGGGAGTGTTGGTGGTAGTTAGCAGAAGTCTGGGACAAATAGCAATATCTGACAGTGATGAAAAGGTGTGAAGAACCTTTTAAATAGCATTATTCAGCAACTGAAGCTTTATGCATTTTCCTGCAGGCTTGGTCAGATGATGTACGACGCTTTCAAAAGATGTTTAGGCATCCAGCCCACACTGAGCTGATTGTAATTGTTGGCAACCATGACATTGGCTTTCATTATGAGTGAGTATTTGGCAAAACAATATAGTACCATGGTGGGACTTGTCAGAATTAGAATAATAACTGCCTTCTGTAACAATTCAAGCCTACCTTTATTGTAAGGTAGAACCTTCAGTGTAAGTGTGAAGTCTTCGTCTGTATGGAAGAAGATTGCTCTGAAAAACTGAACATTATACCAGCCATGCATTCTGCCCTTTCCCTGCTCTTTTACAGAGCACTGGGGCCCTAGGGAAATTTCCCCCAGATACTGTTCTTCAAAGTAATTTCTTTCAAAACATCATTGTTTCCTTCATCATAAAATCTCTGCCATCTGGATGACATAGGACTATATAGTAAATCAGGTTTGATTAAGTAGCAACATTAGTGTGGGGAAATAGAGCTGTATTGTCCTAACACTGAAGCCCTGATCCATCTCTTGATGTGCTTCCAAGAGTGCATCTGGGGTGAAGCTTCCTGCTTCATCATGCTGTACTTAGGCTGCGGTCACACGGAACATTAGCCACGCTAGAGAGACGGAAGATAGGTGGATTTTCCAGGCGCGATCTCACCGCCACATCTGGGAAGCGTAGAGCTCCCGTGGCTCACCCGAGGCTTCCCGCCAAAGATGCAGGGTAAAAAACTAGTGCCTCCGAGGTACTAGTTTCCGGTAACCGCGGGGCAAGGGCGGGCGTCTGATCGCGTTTCCGGTGGCATCCGGCACCCGCCCATGTCCCCTTGCAAAAAGGTTTTTTTCCCCCCAAGTCTCCATGGATGCGCACAAGCACCCAACGGAGCATGCGCATACTTTGGTGTACAGAAAAAAACAACCCGTTTGCCGCACCGCACTACTTCTTTGCCGCGCCGCAGGATTGTCCTGTGATCGGCACCTCCCCCCTACCCACGGGACCTCCACGGAACCTCCACGGGACGTCTGATCACGCAACAGCGTGTTATTTTGCCCTGGGGCAAACAGCCACACCTCCCCCCCGCGATATCCGACCCGTGTGACTGGGGCCAAAGATAGTTTTACTGCCTCAGCTGTGAAAATACTCTCCTGTTTGGACTCCTGTGTTTTCCTGCCAAAGTATTTGCCTGTGTAGCTGTGGGAAAGCAGTGCAATCTCCTGCCTGGAGATTGGTAACCCGAAAGTATTTGTGTGCTAAGAGAAGTCTGGTGACTGCCTAACTACGCAGTCAGTTAGCCTTGAGAAAGGGGGAGAGGCAGATAGCAGACAGCTGCCTGAAAACACACACACACATTCCAAAAGGATGCTCGAATGTTTGTAACTCCCTTACGGAGGGAGAGGGAGGGAGAAGGGGGAAGAAAGGTGTATAAATAAATGCTGGGAAGCCGAGAGGTTTCAGACAGTTCCTGCAAGCTTGTATCCTGTCGTCTTTGCTTCGCCTGCACCCCCACACCCCAAGGAGCAGCACCACATGTAGCCCCTTAAATTTCCAGCATCTCATCTTGGGTAGCTGGCTGTTTGTAGAACCAAAGTCAGAGGCAACTCAGTTATGACAAGTCTGTGTTGTGTCTTTCTGCTATGCTGTACTACTATGTCAGGGTGGCTGAGAAAGTCGGGGATAGAGAAAAAACTGGGATTTCTGAATTCAGAAGATAAATGACTGTTAGGATCCAAGGTATAAACAAGGTTCTAAGACAGTTTCCACAGTTTCGAAGACAACTTGCATTTGAATTACATTATAAACTGTACATTATAAACTGTAATACTTTCAAGCTGTTTTATTGTGGTGTCTGAATACAGCATAGGTGAAGTATTTGCTATAGCCTGTCTTGTGTGCACTCTAGGGACAAATAAACAATTGGAAGAATGAAAAAGCAAAAAGAACCAAAGGTTGGATCAAAAGGTGCCCTTCTGTGAGGGGAAGGTGTTTCTGCTTGCACAAATGGACAGGGATTCCAATTTTTGTAGATCTTTGACTTAAACTGTATCCTACATTGTTCCTGGGAATCTCCTGATCCTTGGGAACAGCCTTTCTGATGGCACAGAGAGTTTCATTGGATGAAATAGAAGCGATCCATTCCATCAATGGAGCTTCAGTTCCAGTTCTTTTGACTCTAATCCATATGTCTGGAAGTTCCCTAGATGCTGTAAAGCACAAAAAGCCTGTGTATTTCATTAATCCCATCTGACCTATGGCAGTGAAATGTTTCACTAAAGTTACTGGGGAAAATAGTACACTCAACTACCATGTAAATAATCTGCCATTTGCTAGCCATTCATTTACAGCCAATATTTGAGATGCTTAGAATGAATTCGAAGTCAAATGCAGCATACTCTTTATTTTTATACACAGAATGACTGAATTTAAGTTAAAGCGCTTTTCACAAGTTTTCAACTTCACTTCAGAGAAACTGGTAACTCGGAAAGGGATCAAGTGAGTGTGATTTAAAAAAAATATGTTTACACTTTGTATCCTGATGTTGCCAAGGAGTTATGGTGAATTAAAAGAAGTAATAATCAACAGATTTTTTAAACTAAGCAGATCTTGCCTTATCCTCATGATTTTTGTTTAAGATGAGCTTTACCAAGATAAGAACTACTGCTAATATTAGCTAATACTTGCAGTAATTTGTTGCAAACTTTAAAATGAAGAGAGAACTGTGATCAAGATTAGCATGCTTAGTTTTAACACTTCTGTAAGCTGTCATGCATTGCGAGTCAAGCCTGGGTTATACGCCTGTGCTCCTGTATGTGGGAATAGGTAAAGGTTTCCCTTGCTCGAAAGCCAGTCAAATCCAACTCTAGGGTTGCGGTGCTCCTCTCCGTTTCCAAGCTGAAGAGCCAGCACTGTCCAAAGACGTTTCCGTGGTCATGTGGCCAGCATGACTAAACGCCAAGGTGCATGGAACGCTGTTACCTTCCCACTAAAGCAGTACCTATTTACCTACTTGCAATTTCTTGCTTTCGAACTGCTAGGTTCGCAGGAGCTGGAACCAGCGATGGGAGCTCACTCCGTCACGTGGCACTCAGGTCTCTTCTGGTCTTCAGTTCAGCGTCTTAACCACTTGAGCCACTGCAGGTCCTAGGCGTATGTGGGAATAAGTTCTACTAAATACAGTGGGATGAAGAATAAAACTAGGAAGGATGTTGGGAGTTCCATGTTCACAGCTCTCAAACATTGTTTCTTTATACATAGCAGCTCAGTGGGGTCCCTAATTTTAGATCTGCAGAATTAAGGTAGGGTTTAACTATTTTCTCCTGTGACATTTTCCCCAGTTGAAACTGCAAACAGGCAGTCTTTTGTATTCTGAGTGTTGATTTTTGGATATGCTGTTCTGAGGAACTCGAACAAATATCTTGTTAAAATTGCCAGTACGTCTCTTTGTGTAAGGGTTATCAGGATGAGCCGGGTAGGAGAATGTTCTCTGTGTTCTCTGTGGTGTTTAAGCTATTCAGATGGTTGCACTTTACTTGCTGTTTCCTACACACTTGCATTTATAAATGTGTAGACAGTGGTTATGATCCCAAGGATTCTTTGTATGAACTCTACTAGAGGTACTGTGTGCCCTGTATGGTGTTCTCTAGTTCTTTTCCTTGTTGAATAGATAAGCTGCATTTTAAAGCTCCACAGTGTTTTAAGCCATGCAAACTTATATACATGAACATGCTACAACATAATATTATATTCTTTTGTGTTGTGTGCATGAGATAAACAATTATATTTTATTGAGAGGGTTGCCATCTCAATTTTGTTGGCTGTAAACCATATTAAAGAATAGGCAAGTACATGCACACACCGTATAACAATCATTATTTGAGTGTTGCCTGTATGGAGAAACTCCATGGGAGAAGCTGCTTTTAAAAAGGGGAATGAATTTGATACTCTTTCCATACTGAATTCACTCAGGGGTGACTCCCACTTGATGTTATGGCTTATCCTTACTTATTTCTGAGAAACCTCTACCCTGGGCAGATACTATCCATGGAGGTAGGGCTGGGGCCACATTGTTGCATCTGTTAGCCAAATTGCCTTATTTCTTAATAATAGCTTGGGGAATTATGAATATAAAATGGCAATATGCATATAGTGTGGATCATGATGACCTGTGTATACTGGAGTCAGAATTCCCAGGAACCCAGGAATAGACACAGAGACTGGGTAGCTAAAATAATGATTAATTTACTAAATATACTCAAGCATACAGACAATAATCAAGCATTCACACACACAATACAGAACTAAGATAGCAGAGGTGATTGATAGCAAATAGAGGGGTCAGTTATGGGGTGATACTACCTGTCCAGACATGCAGAGGTCCATGAAGAAGAGATTTATGGCCCAAACCCTAAAGATTGGGGATGGACTGCCAGTTGGCATCAGGGCAGAGGCACACAGTCTAAGGACATGTGCCTGGACAGATATAGGCATTGGAAAACAATGCAGACCAATAGGAGGTCTTGAGGGGCTTGTCTCAGGTGAAGACAAAAGATTACCTGGGCCAATGAGGAGTCCCAGGGGTGCGTGGCATCAGGATGGGCAAGGCCTAGATGTGACCAATGAGATCTCAGAGGGTCAGAGTCTGAATTAACAATAGAAGCCAGGTGTTAAATGACTGTACTGGGGCTAGCTGAATGGATTTTATGTCCATTGTTGTTTCTGCCAAGGCAGTTGAATAGGTTCCGAGATACAGGCAAAAGATGGGAGATGGGTCTCTGATTAGCATCAGAAAGGATTGTTCATCATTTGAATGTTTGATTGGTTTATCTTGGAATCCTGAGGGGTGGAGCAAGGAAGGACAAGTATTGAGACAAAGAATTCACACATAGACATGGGATCACACAAAAGGGCTGGGTGAGGTTCTGGGGACAGGAGGGCTATTTTCCAGGTGGCCTCTGAATAGCCTTTAGAAATGTAGATGTTTTACCTGGTGGAACTGGCATTGCTTCATATGCATATCTTCCTGGCTGGTGGAGAAGACTGGAGGTTTGCTCTGAGGGTTGCCTTTTTGCCACCTGAAAATGGAGACCCCATTTCCAGAGCTATGGCTTGCTCTGTATTTCAGAACCAGGAGTGTCTTTCTTGGCCTGAGTTTTGTGGGTCTCTGGTTCAGGTTAGAAAGTGGGGTGCCCTTGCTATTGAGTCTATCCCAGAGTAAAGGCAGTGCCTCTGGGCAACACAATGGGCTGAGAGGCAAAAGGGCAGAGTTCAGACCCGAGGTTACCAGTTCCTATTTAAAGATATATGCAAGAAGGTAGACTGCTCCTCCTCTGACCCTTGCAAGATGACTGAGTTTACAGGACTGATTTCAGAAAATACAGTACTGCAGTTAGAACACGTGTCAGTATCAAAGAGCCTGGATCGGACCCAGTACTTTTGTCTCGTTTTGAATCTGATAAAAGCACAGTACCCATACGACAAATATATTGGGTGTAAAATGTAATCTGAGATCTCTCCCCCCCCCCCATTACTCTTCAGTTTTGTCCTGGTGAACAGCGTTGCAATGGAAGGAGATGGCTGCAAAATCTGCAGGACGGCAGAGGCAAAGCTTGCAGAGCTCTCTCACAGTCTGAACTGCTCATTGCAGGTAAGGGACACTCATCATTAAAAAAGCATCCCTTCACTGTGGCGCTCTAATTTGTGCATTTTCCTGTTCATTGTTTGTGTTCTTAACTCTGAAGCTGAGTTGCTTCAGCGTGCAAAGTTCCTGTCTCTTAAGCATCCCCCTTCACATTAGTGGAATCAAGCAGCTCTTTTAATGCGGGAAGCTGCTTTCTTTATTAAAATGAATGTGGTCAATGTGTAACACATCGAGCTTGTAAATTGTTGTTGAGGGTTTTTTTTGCTCAATTTGTATCCCTACCCCCCTTTTCTTGCACTTGTGGGTATGTGTTATTATTCCATCTCGTATGGTTTTGCAACATCAGCCATTCCCTGCATGTCTCTGAATTGATGCACAGTTTAGTAGATGCATCCTCAGGGATGGAGTCATATATTCCTGGCTCCTGACTTCTCCTGTAATTCTGTAGACTTCTGGCAGTGTTATAATCTAATTTTCTGATTGAAAAATAATGGTGAAATCTCTTCCATTTCTTCTACTATAAAGTAATTTAAGGTATGTACAAAATCTCACTTTTTGTTGTTGTTTTTTGTTGTTGACAGGAACAAAGTCAGTACCAAAAGAAGTGCAGCAATGTAGACAAACTTCCACCATCATTGCCAATACTATTACAGGTGTGCTTGAGATTATATTGTGTTTCAGCTTTATCATACAAATCACTTAATGACTTGTTAGTGAATTAATGCTTTGGATTTTGCTCTGAATCCCATTCAGCATTATCCTCTTTACAGAAGAAGTGACTCTCAATGTACAGGAGAAGATGCTGCTCCTCTGGATAAAAGGAATGACCCTTTCACGGAGAAGTACGATGTGCTTTCTGTGGAAGCTACCCAAAAGGTATGTTAACACCACCAGTTTTGTTTCTAATGGAACTTTACACCCATTCCTGCTACCCATATTTTTAGTTCATAGGAAGAGATATGCAAGTGATCTTTAACGAATGGAAGACTGTCATAAGTCTGATCCCGTAGATGAGTACAACTTCGATAGCATTTTATGCAAGGCAAGTCTGGATCTTTGATTACATCTCCTGACACTCTGATTTCATCTGGATGGTGGCGCTGGGGGAGTACAGTTACTAATTTGTTAACCCTGTGCATGCACATACTGGGAAAACAACCTAAATGCTTCCCAAATACACCAAGTAATGAAGTGAAGCATCTGATAGCAGAAAAAGAAATATAGTGCTTTGTCCATGGTGGGTCCTGGGCACTGGCCTAGCTGGGCCTTGTCTCCTATGTCCAGGAGAGAGTTCACATACTTGTGGTATGGTGTATAGGCTATGGTGGTTATTTATGATATTTATAAAAAGCCCAAAGTAGCTATATGTTTAGGAATGGCTATGATTCCCTACCCTGTGCACAAATGCTGGGTTATTCCTTGTATTAACTGAGGACATATTAAAATATTTGGCTCAATAATTCAAGTGAAAATGTCAAGCTATGTGGTAATGCTTATCTGCTGGGTTTTTTTAAATAAATGAGATAATTCAAGGAAGTCCCATTATCTCTTCCTTAATGCAGTTGTTATGGTGGTTTCAGCCCCGGCTGATTCTGAGTGGTCACACTCACAGTGCCTGTGAAGTGCTGCATGATGGGAAGATTCCAGAAATCAGTGTTCCGTCATTCAGCTGGAGGAACAGAAACAATCCTAGCTTCATAATGGTAAATTTAAATTGCTTTTATTTTGTCAGATAATTTTTCATAATATAAATCAACATAGCAATCAGCTATTTTCTCAGACTGATGCTACCTGTAGAAAAGCAAAACAAAACAGCTCCTCCCCGTCCCCTCCAAAAGTACACTTAACTTGGAATACAAAGCACCCACTTTATGAAGCACATACCTGGGGAGCCATTCAGCTTGTATAGTGCAAAGTATTTTTTCCTAGGTTTTACAACCATTTCTAAATACAAGCAATATTTAGTACGTTTCTATAAAGAGGGTGCTGTGTAAACAATTTGACTGCAACAATCATCAGTAGTCTGCAACAAACAGTATTAAGACTTGTTTTTGCTTGGCTGATTTATTCACAATACCACATCTTTCTGCATGGCTCTTTCATCATTCAAAAGTGCAAACTATCTCATAGGGCAGCAAAGTTCTGTTCAGATGAACCTAAATAATTGTGATACAGTTTTCTTTTTTTTTTACTTTGGGTATACTAGATTACAACTTTCAGTAGATTAACCTGGAGCACAAACAGTTTCCCAGTTGTAAAACACTTTTACTTCTATTTTCAAAAACCAAGTCCTAAGCGACATTTACTTTTTCAGCCTTCTGTGCATGGGAAAAGGCAAAGCAGTTACAAATTTCTGTTTCTTAGTTCCTACGTATAGTTCTCTCACACCTAAACATGTTACTAAACAGTTCTGCTTGTAAGACATGGAATCTTTTTCTTCTATTCAGAGTGGCTGCTTACTAAAGCATCCCAGTTACTTCAGAATGTTCTACTTCCTGCACTCTGAAGTATGGATATTTGGCTACCGGCTTATATTAACTGTAAAGCTTCTCTCCCTGCCTCTTGAAGTGCTACATAAAGTTAGCCAATCAGGTCTCCTGTCCAGTTCTCTCAAACACTGGGTCTTCCCTATGGAACACAGTATACTAAGCCCATTGATTTCAGAGGTAATCGAAGTGCATGTTGGATTGTGGCCAGTAGCCATTATGTTGCTTGGGGCGGTCCGCGTTATTCTGTAGAGCCTGCCCAGCCAAATAGCTGCTTCTACTGCATTCATATTGAGGACTCAAGTGCTTTCAGATGGCACAAAATTGGCCCAGAGCAGTTCAGTGCTTAACAGTAGAATAGCTTAACATAAGCAGTTTGAAAGCAAATTAGAATTTTATCTGCTAGACAGTTGAAAGCCCTGGTGCTAAGCAGGGAACTGACCTATCCTGCCATTAAGGCAGAAAATAAAAAAATTAAATCCAGCTTGCCAACCTCTTGGCCCCATCCATATATAAATGGTGGTTGTTTTCTTTCTCAGGGCAGCATGACATCGGCAGACTTCTCCCTCTACAAGTGCTTCCTTCCATTTGAGAACACAGTTGTTGCTATCTACTGTGCAGCAGGAGCTGTGCTTGTGCTCCTCATACTCGCTCACTTTCAGTCTCTCCACATCCTCCCTTTCCCATTTGTTCAGCATTTAATCACTAAGCATAAAGCAGTATGAAGAGCTGGACATTTGTAATCGGTCACTGACACACCAAAGCTAAAGAACAGTCCATCAGACTACATTCATGCCAGCAAATGCGTACTTGAATTGCTAGCCCAAAGGCAGGGTTGCCTTCACACACAGAAAGTCCTATACAGTTGATATGACTTTTTTTTCTCTACAGGATTAAATTAACTGAATGCTTCATGCTGTACAAAAATATTGTATTCTACAATCAAATGAGTCATTTTTCCTTGCTAAAGTTTTTTTTTGTATCAAACATGTATATTAAAAGTTTGTAACTGTACACTATAAGTCTACAAGCCTCCTCTTGTGTCTGTACTAGAGCGTCCTATGCTGCTAGAGGCTTATTAGTCTTTCTAACTGGAAACAATTCTAAAGTGTTATTGCTGCGTGACCATCTAATGTGGTACTTCTTTTCCTTGATGTCAGCAATACAAGATGTAGAGTTATTTTACAGTAAGATGTTACAAACAAAAGGCTCTTGTTTGGGAGAAGTAGCTTACTGGCCTCAGATGCGTCACCTTGCTCATATTTGATGTAAAGTAGTTTTAGATGGTATTCATGTGTTGTCTACTTGCCAATCATTCAAGCCCCTTGGTAAGCTGGCTTGCAGAATAATGGCAAGCCAGGCAGAAAAGTGAGGACAAACCTTTTGAGCTACCTCAATAGCTGTATGTAGTCTGTGCACATCCCATTTATGTCAAGAGGTCCATCTAGAAGTCTTCCTCAGAATAGGATGTTAGCAGCTGTTTTTCTACCCCAGCATGGTTCATATCGAGTTATACATAATGAGAGCATCCCGTACTTCAGACAGGATTCTAAACAATTGCTCATGGGGAGACCCTAAGCATGTCTGCCCTGATTCTAAACACTCTGAAGCAAAAGGCAGTCCCATGGAGATCAATGGCATTTTCAAATAGTGCGCTTGCGCACAAGATCTTAAGAGGACAAACTTTAGCAGCAAGTTTTAGTGGTCAACTTAGTCTTGAAGCTGAGTTTTAGATGAGTCCCAAGTGCTTAGGGTATGGGTGCACCAATGCAACATCATACAACCACTACTGACAGTTACATCCAAAGTTTTATTGTCCTTTGGATGTAGTCCATGTTCTTGAATTTGGGAGGGAAGGAAATGGCATATAAGCAGAGCTTCCCCCCATGACTGTTTTGAATTACATCCTCCCACTTTTAGCAGGCAATAGTTCACATTTTTTCTTTGTCTTCAGGAGAAAGTATAGAAACATGTTCATTTCTGTAACAGTGGTATCTCTGACCCTTCAAAATAAAAATTTCTTTCAAATGTTCTGGGAGCATGCACAGTTATTCTAATGAAACATTACTGAATATGTCCAACTAGTAGTTTCAGAGTGGGACTAAAATGTTGAGGGGTTTTAGAAAATACAGTACTAGAAAGATTACTAATTCCTCTTCAGATTTACAACCAGAATGTGTCTGTCCAGTTTTCGGGGGGGGGGGGGGAGGGACGGGACTGGGCTTATGTAAATAACAAACATGCTATTCTTATAAACATTTGTTCAGGTTGTGTGGTTGAACATATTTCAAGGAATAATTAATTCATCTTTAAATTTAAAGGATGAATATAATCTAAGCGATTAAGTCATCTACAAAGTTATGTAGGCTAATGCTTCTAAATTTGTTATTGCAACTATAAATTTTAAACTTTTGTACAGGTTATCTTGGACACAGGAAAGTATGTACTCCGGCATAACACCTATGTATAAAATATAAAGCAATGTTATATTTAGAGGAGGACATGCCTTATTGCTACAGCAATTCTTGCTTTTATATTGTACTGTACCACAACTTATTATGTGAATGTCATTTGCATAAATTATTCAAGTTTGAGAAATATTCACACATTGTGATTCTACAATATTTAAAATAAACCATTTTCTAAGGTCTCTTTATTAAGAGAAATAAAAACGTCATCTTGTAATTCTCTTAGGCCAGACACAAGGGTTACAGCTTTTCTTCTTTCTTGCAATTTGCTAGCAGAATGAAAGCAGCTGTTGCAACAAAGATATAAGAGCCTTTATCTAATGGTGCTTTTATACATTCACAATCTGCCTCTGCAATTGTGAAAAATCTCTGAATGACCAAAGAATTACCCAACATACTTTTCTAAAAGTAAAAAAAAACAACAACCCTTGGTTCCCATGAAAACAACACCAGGTTGCAATTTGGACACTTGAATCAATTTCAGTGTTTTAAAGCTGAGACTGAGAGAAAGGCATGTTGCTGCAACATCTGGTGGCGATAACAACTTACTTGGAAAGGTAATGACTAAAATTTGCATAATTTATAATTTTTTATACTAAAGAGCATTTTTATATAAACCAGAAAAAACCCCTAAACTCTACAGAGAAGTTTCTTACCTCCAGCCACTGCTGCAGGTAAAGTTGACATCAAGCTGTACAGCGCAATCAAAAACATACTTACATCTTAGCTCAATTTACAGGTACAGCCATAATCAAGGCACAAAGATCTTCTACAAGTATTTTTCTTCAATAAAATTGTACAAAATAATATTACACTTTACAGTCTGTACAATATAATAAACCAGCAGTAAAACAAAAATAATATGTATATATATATATGTATATATATTATATATAGGGAGAAGACTGTTGTCCAAAAATGATCTAAGCTAGCTGGATCATTTTTGGACAGAACAAACAACATAAATAAAGGTGGTGGATTTTCTGCCTAGATGCAATAGGCTGAAAAAAGTAGCTCTAAATTCAAATGCCTGAGGTGCGTTGAGACTCTTACTCCAAACTTCCCCAAAATCACTTATCTTCTCCCTGTGCCTCATTTTCTATTCTATCTCCTGTGCCAATAACGGCTTAGAAGAGGTCACTGGATCAGTCGACCTGCAGCTCAGTTCTGTTAAAAACTGACACTGTCATAAATATTGTGGTGCTGCTACATCATGCATGTATACATCCTCAACATTATTTCATAACCCTGATACAAAGTGCATTATTTCCCCCCCCCCCACCATCCATCAAGTACTCTTCAGTGTCACGGTGAAAAAGGGAGCTGCGCACACTATAGGTATGTCATGGTATCACCCAACTCTCAGATACCAGCTTGAACTAGCAAACCTGCTGGGGGGAAAAAGAGCAGGCTGTGTCCAAATAATTAAAGAAAACCCCCACCCCAAATGCAACCAAACCTAAATAAACAGAGGTAGCCCAATGGCATAGTGGAATGACAAAGTAGTGGCATATCAAAATTAAGCACATATATTGTCTGAAAGGGTATAAACAAGGGGGGGGGGGATGCTGCGAACTAGCCAAAAGGCTAACTGAAGTAAACAAACTTGAGGCTGCAGACGTGTCTAGACAGCAACTTCCTCTACTTTTTGTTAGGAAGTTTAGAAAGAAAGAGAAGCTGCTTAAAACCACAGGCTCTATGGTATTCTCAGTTACAATAGTTCATACTGGCGAAGATGCATTCTCTGAATGATGTCTCTACAGTCGTTGAACACTCTGCGGATGTTTTCTGTGTCTATTGCACATGTAAAATGTGGGTAGCAGTAATGTTTTCCATCTCCAGTTGCAGTGCTTATTCTCTGTGAAACAAAAACACACACATAAGCTCAAGAATATTCAAGAACTACAGACTGCTAGTTCTAGGAGCCAGTTTTGAAAACGAGAGCACAGCTTTGAGAAATAAAAGACCAACTCTCAGAGATGATAGGAACAAAATACACAACGAAACCGATAGTGGGATGCCTCTTACATCTGCTTAGCTGCCTTGGCGGCCCTCATGAGGACAGAAAGGCAGGGTATAAATTTTGTAAATAAAAATGTAAGTAATACTTATTACCCATCACAGTTGCCACATAAGACAGTCTGGCTTAAAATGGAAAGAAGCACCAAACAGAAGACTTACAGAATTTTATGACTTAGATGGGCAGGTGATTTGGTAGGCTTTTCCTGAATTTTACAATTTAGGGATAAAAATAGTTAATTATTTTTCAGTTGCTGTTCTCCAAGCTGCTGCCGCTTGTCTATAATATTTGATGTTACCATCAACCAAGCTTAAAGACAATAATAATGAACACTGTTTCTCAAAATGTTATAGAAGTTACTTACTAAAAATTCATCCCGGATAAAAAACTTTGCTCTTGTAACTTTGGGATCTTCTCCTGCATCGGGTGTTGCTGTTATGAATGTGAAATAAATAAGAAGAGACTATTACTAAGAAAAGGAGAGTATGACTAGACCCAAAGGGGGTGGGAGACAGACCAAAGACAATTTACTAACTTCCATCTATGGAAAACACATGGCTGATATTCCTGGAATGCAAGGCCTTAAACTAGCTAACTGCATGTACATGTTTCTTAGCTACAGCTGCCAGAACAACAATATACTTTACAACAGGGTCTACAGGCATATCAGTTTCTACAGTTTTACAATGCTCTTGTAATATGCATGTACCAGATCATTATTCTGCCATGTAGTGACTATTTCACAAGGCAAAGCTTAGGTGAGTCAGATATTGCTGCAACACTTCAGTATTTAAGAAGAGACATATGGAATTTGCTCTCAGGTTAGCCGGTGTGGCTGCATGGACACTTGCTCCAGAGGAGAAAACAGTTTGCAGTCCAGCGTCTGCAGGGGAAAGGAAATTTGTCAACATTTATTAGGATCACAAATTTCACACGAGATGATGGAGGGCTGGGAAAAGGTCATGAGAATTAGCAAAGTCAAAGGGGCCAGAAGCCCAGAAGAAAAAAGGCTGATGGAGAAGGCATTAGACTGAGAAAGAGAAACTTGAACGGATAGGCAGTGAGCAAGGGCATCAAGGCAAAAGGGGAGTAGATCAGAGGTTGGCCATGAGTATACCCCACCCCCTTCTGCGTTCAAAATGTGAGAGGAAGGAGGGGCTTATTACTGAGGTAAGCTGAAGAGGCTACTGCCACACAGAATGCTGCAAAAGGGGTGGAGGCTGGGGAGCTCTTCTCGCTGGGGCTACTGCTGCTGAAGCGGCAGGTACTAACATCACCAACCCTATCAGCTTCAAAACTGAGCACCACTCAGATGTTGGTGGCTTCTTCTGCTTCTCCCTCCCTCCCTGCAGGGTTACCCCTGTCTTGGTTCTGGACATTATGCTGCAGCCAGGTACAGGAACCACCCATTACTCCCTGATGTGGATAGAGCCCTGGCTTTTCTAGCCTGGCTGTATTAATTTCCATTTGGGCAGAGAAGAGCTGGAAGGGGCCACACAATTCTCGGGGTCTCCGTACTCCACGCAATACTTTTGTTGGAGGGTTCTTGCCCAGTGGGAGAGGGACTGCTCCCTGTTGGCAAGGGAATTTGAAGAGCCCTGGTCAAGTGACTAAGTGCTTTAAGGAGACAGACAAGTAGTCTGAAAAGCAGGGATCCGAGGAGACATGGGGTTTCATCCAAAGAACTGAAAACTTTGCTCATGGAACTGATCTTTCCCTCCTTGTCTTCTACAGCCTCCTGTATCACCCAAAAAGCTGCTCATGAGGTTTGGGGAACCCTTGGAAACAGTATGTTGCAGCACAGGTGGGCTGTGGCTATAGTGGGAAAGCTGTAGCTATTGCAGATTTCCTCTGCACAAGCAGAAGGGAATGGGGGCACTTTTTTTCCAGCTCAGAGAACTGAAGAAAGAAGGACCCAAGAAGGACTTGGGCTACAGATAGGACAGTTCACGGCAGGAGGGTCAGAAGATGTGCACTGCCAGTGAAGGAGCCAAAGTGTCATCAGGTTGCTCGATCTAGACACTGGTAGGGGAAGTTGGTTAGTTGTAGTTTTTATTGTCACTTCAGCATTATGAGCTGGCATTCCTTGTTTTAATTTTTTTTAAATGTAGAAAAGGTATGCATATGCACAGAGATCTTAAATTTTATACATAAAGGAAATACACAAGTTCATTAACATCTTTGGAGAATAAACCATCTATCTAATTGAGGACTTAAAGTCATTTATTTGACAAGTTAACTTTGTTCCTCCATTTGTTTAATAAAGGTTTCCCAACGTTTATAATCTTTCTTTCTTATGTAGTTAACTAGTGACCTTAAGTGTTTAAGGTAGCTTACTAATTTTATAAAATCCAGAACAGTATATTGGGAAAGTTCCTTTCCCCCAAAAAATCTGGGGAAAACTATTCTAGCTCCTGTTAATAACTTAAAACCACCACTTGATATATCTTAGGAAACATAATTAAGTAGCAATATTTCAGGGCTAAAATGGAACCACAAAGCCTCAGCCCTGCCACAGCTTATCTATTGCTATTTTCCAAAAGTTTGCACAGACACATTTCTACCGTAAGTACATAGCGTCTACATTAGGAGATTTGCAATATTAACATAACTTTGATGAAGATCTATAGATTTTAGATAACCTCTGTGGTATAACACACCACTGGTTTATCATTTTTGCTACATTTTCTCTAAATAAAAGGCATAGTAAAAAGGAGGAACCCAGTGAAAGAGCAAATTTTCAAACTGAGCTGGCAGTTCCTAAGGACACAATGATGACCAAGAATCAACTGATGGTGAAGAATGAAAACGGATTTGAACTAACCAGTCACTTCTTTAGCTGCAAGTTTCCACTACTGAGTGTAAGAACAGATCTTTCAAAAATGAATTTCTGTTTTGAGCAGATACATGTGCTCTTTGCTTTCATTAACGTGTGATGATGTTTAAAATGTTATCTGAGGAACCTGCATACAGTACAGAAGCATTAAAGAGCAGCAGGTGAATGATGACTATTTGAAAAATGCTATGGTTAAAAATCTCACCATCTTCAGGTACAGTGTAACGTACAAATTCTGGAAAATAATCTTCAATTTTTGACTTCCCTGCCAAGACTTTTTCCGCCAGCATGTCTTGTTTGTTCAAAAACAAAATGATAGATATTGTCCGTAACCACCTGCAAAGACCAAACAAAATTTCAGTACTATTTCATAAAAATGCAAGAACTGAATTATGGAATCACACCAAAATCTTCAGTACTGCGTAATCAAAGATACAAGTGAGAGACCCATAAAGACTCGCAGGACGAATCTCATTTCCCCCTCCTCCATATTTTTTTTTTCCCTTCCCTGAAAGTTTCCATAGCTTCTCCCATGTTCCTATTTCATTCTCTCCTTTCTTTCCATTAGCCAACTTACCTGTATTTGCCCCCTGCAGCTTTCCCTCCTTCATTCTCACTGGTGGTGACTCCCCAGGAAAACTCTGGCCCTGCTGTAAAGCGGGGAACCCAAAAGGACTTGTGGGGAGCACCTCACTTTCCCCTGTACCTCTCCCCACACTATTTCCTCTTTCTCCCCCCCTTCCCCCGGCCACATATCCTCATCCTTCCCTACTTCCTTCTCTCTTTCCCCGCCACTAGCTAGTAGGGGTGTGCGCTCGGGATAAACCGAGCCAAATAAATACCAAGCTGCGAAGAGGAGCCAGCCGAGGATCGAAGGGGGTGGCAGGAGCTCCACACTGCACAGAGATTCAGGGTCTGCTTCTCACTGCTGGGCAGGAGAAACCTCCCAGCCAGGTCTGTGTGTGGCAGCGAGAGACCTCCCTGCCGCACACACATCCTGGGACCAGCTTCTCCTAGCCTGCGGTTTAAACTGAGCCAGCTGTGGTATAGTGGTTAAGAGTGGCAGACTCTAATCTGGAGAACTGGGCTTGATTCCCCACTCCTCCACATGCAGCCAGCTGGGTGACCTTGGGTCAGTCACAGTTCTCTCAGAGCTCTCTCAGCCCCACCTACCTCACAAGGTGTCTGTTGTGGGGAGAGAAAGGAAAGGCAATTGTCAGGTGTTCCAGGACTCCTTTGGGTAGTGAAGAGCAGGGTATAAAACCAACTTTTCCTCTTCTTTTATAGAATTCAATACCAAAGACGTGTTATCCATAAATGCTGGATAATCTCTTAGTGCAATGGAATGTGATTTACTAAAGGCCAGGTCTGTAGCCAGGATTCTGTGGCTTGTGGGGTAGATTTTTTTCTGGTGGGGCTGAAGTTCTCGGTGCAGAAAGAAAAGCCAGAATTCTGAGGATTATGATTTGGCTACTCTTCTCTCACTGAGTCTTCTCAAACTATCTATTCTACATAGGTGTTCTTATGCTAGCAATCACCCTTAGCCCAGGCCCGTAGCTACAGCGGGACCCATGCCCCCCCCCCCATGGTTTTTACGGGCCCCTCACCAGTACTTTTATCGGCAATCTCACCAGTACTCAACTGGGCTTGTCTTCCACCCGTCCCTTGCACGCTGCGTTTTCCAGCTTAGCCCAAGAGGTCAGAGAACTCTCAGCCTGTGCCTAGACTGGCTCTTAAAAGGTAACACAGGCATCCAAGGGGACATTTAAAAGGGCAATGCAAGGGAGGCCTTAATTTGGACGTATTGGCTCCCCCCCCCCCGTCAGCCAAGCATTTAATTCAACTGCTGTGTAAAGAGTTCACAGGACTGTCTCCATAGTATTTTTCTCCTCCCTAGAACTCCCGCGCTTTGTCTGGCAGGGCCCTTTAAAATCTAGCTAGCTAGCTGAAAAGTATTGGGTTCGCCGCATGGAGGACTCGGACGACGACATGCGGTTGCACACGTTTATTGTACTTAACACAAGACTAACTCTAATGGCCCGACAGGGCCAACTATATACATATTCACCCAGCACCCCCTATTCCCATTGGAGGGTTTGAATGTCCCGCCAAGTGGCTATTGGTTGGGGCTGGGGGAAACCAGGATCCAAAGTTTCTTTTGTTCCAGGAGCCAAGCTACTGCATGTGCCGCAGACCCCTGGTGGTGGTCCACGTACATAACAAGCCACTCATTCAAGCAGCTGCTGGGTCAGGCGGCACCCGCCTGCCTGCAAACTTTTTCCCCTCCCCTTTTTTGGGAGCCTTCTGGCCATTTCCACCTTTGAGAAGTTGAGACGTGCAGTCGGGCCAATGAGAGAGGCCTCGGGGCTTCCTGGCAGATCTTTGCTGGGGATTCCCCCCCTATGCATGGGGGGGGGGGGAGAGGGAGAGTGGCTTTCCTTTTTTGGCAGAGTTACAGCGCTGGAGTGGCGCAGAGCAGAAGGCGACAGCAGCGGCGGGATGTGGGGCCAGGCTGGCAGCTCCTCTGGGCAGGGATCCTTGTGCACAGACATATAATGGCAGGCCCCTCAAGCAAAATATTGCCCCCCCCCCAGCAAAAAGTTGTTAGCTACGGGGCTTCCTTAGCCTATTAACCATTTAGCCAAAAGAAAGCTGTTACCAGGATAGATCTTTAAATTGCCAGCTGTCAACCACTTTAGATGACACTTCTCAGCTGCTGCAAGTTAATCACTTCTGCCAGCCTAAGCAACTATTCTGATAGCAAGCTGGCAGGTGGGGGTGATGACTTCTATAGTCAAGAAAGCTAACGCTTAGGCAGAAAAACTCTCTTAAAGGAGACCAGTTTCTTGACACAGAGGTAGAAGGGATCCTAGAGGTCGCCTACTCCAACCACCTTGCTCAGTGAAGGGATTAGTCAACTACAGCATCCCACTCTGCTTAAAGGAGTGCATGGCTTTAAAAAATGTTTAAAAATGATTGAAGAAAGCATTTACAGGAGAAATTCGTGTGGGGCTGTGCCTTTAAGAAAGGGGGTGAAGCCCCCCAAAGCCCCACCATAGCTGCGGGCCTGCTAAAGGCTTTCCATAAAAAAATGCTAAAGGCTGTTATTATTTTCACCATGTGAATGTTTTATTTATTTCATTTGTACATCACCTTTGTCCTCAATGGGCGACCCAAAGCGGCTTGAATTCTACTTCTCCCTTGCATTTTATCCTTACAATAATCCTATGAAATAGGTTAGGCTGAGAGTGTGTGACTAGCCTAAGGTCACCCAGCAGGCTTCCGTGGCAGATTAGAACCTGATCTACCAAATCCTAGTTGTACACTCTAGTAACTCCTACACCAGGCTGGTTCTATGAATATCGGTCTGCTATCTACACCAACATTTTACCTGTTGTTCCAGATACTTTTGAAAAGGTCCAAAGACTCCCGTAGTCTGTTTGTGTTATTGTCTTCCCTTATGACCATGTTGTAGCTGCTACAGGCCACGACAAAGATAATAGCTGTGACATCTAAGGGAGAATGTGCAACAGACAGAATAAAAGCATAAAAACCAATTTTAATTCAGGAAGGTTTTTTTTTTTTTGCGCACAAGTAAGGATGATGATGGATAGCCAAACAGGTTTTATGCTGGTAATTACAAACATAGTCTAGGCTATATAAAGAAAATGGTAAAGATTTCTTAAGATTAATAAATGTGGGTATTAATTGGCTTTTGTTTTTGTTTGCTACTATAGACCAATGTGGCTACCTATGTCCTTTGACCACTTTGAAAATACCTGAACTTAGCCAAAGGGAGGAAAAAGAACTTGAGAAAACTTAGGTAATACTGCCTCAAATTTTGCTTCTATTGATTTTGTACTTGGTGTCTCAACCAAAATTACTCTCCAGTATTATAAGTACCACATTTCCCCTCTGCTCTCAGCTTTTTAAGGGGCCTGTGTGACATAGATGTTTGATCAACAACTGTTGTTTTTTCCATAATGGCTTCCATTACATGCTGATTCTTCTGAGAAGGCCAAGGTGCAGAGCATGATACTAGCCATGCTGAAGGTGGCTGAGCATTCTATCCAGGATGGAGATGCCTTCTCCCCCCTCCCTTCTTTGTTTAACATGCAACCTGATGAAGAGTTATGTAGACCTAAAAATAATTGTGCTCTATATTATTTTGGTTGGTCTTAATAAAAAGTATTCCATAGCTTACTCAGCTCAGTGTAAAACATCAGTTATGTAGACACTTGAACAAGAAAACCGCTCTCAGAGTGAACATGAAATGTGAAACAAGAACTCACCATTAAAACATTGGATCCATTTTCTTCTTTCATCTCTCTGACCACCGACATCAAACATGCTGTTGAAAAGTCACAGGGTATCTTTTAGCATGTGTAAGGAAAACAAAGTCACACTTACCTGTAACTGTTGTTCATCGAGGATCTTCTGTGCAGACACACATAGGGACTGCGCATGCACAGGCCTGCCATCGGATAGGTTTTTACAGCTAAGAGCCTTCAGGGGGTGCTGCGCACCAAAGCCAAGACTGTGTCCACCCAGGAACACGTGCTCCTGCACGGCAGCACCCCCCTACCCTCAATACCTCTAGTACCACCAAAGCTGGAGCATGCAGTGGGGTCAGATGGAGGATATGTGTGCCTGCACAGAAGATACTCGATGAACAACAGTTACAGTTAAGTGCAACTTTGTTTTCATCATCAATCTTCTGTGCAGTCCCACATGGGGAATCTAGTAAACTACCCAGCAGGTGGAGAGGCATGCTCACCTATTTGAACAGTGACTGAAGAACTGCCTTGCCCACTTGAACATGCCTGTATGTTCAATGCTTAGTGATGAACAAAGGTGTCTGCCAACGACCAGGCTGCAACTCTGCATATCTCTGTCACAGTCACTCCATCCAGGAATGATATGGAAGAAGCCACTGCTCTAGTGGAATGAGCATGAACACCTAACGGACATGGAACCCCATCCCTATCATCACTCCCTAATGGTCCTAAGAATCCATTGGGATAGGGTCTGAGATTATAGGGTGTGAGCCACCCTGAGCCAGCTTCGGTTGGGAGGGCAGGGTATCAATGAATGAATGAATGAATGAATCAATCAATCAATCAAATAAATAAATAAATGATGCACTCCTACCCTTCTTCAGACACCGAAAACACACAAACATAGGTTTATGCCTGCAAAACTCCAGGGTCCTCTTAAAATAGAATAATAATGCCGTTCTCACATCCAGAGAATGCAAGGAATGTTCACTGTTAGAGCTTGGTGTGGGAAAAAATACTGGCAAAACAATATCCTGGGTTCTGAAAATTTGATAGCGTCTGCATGGAGCACTTTAGCAAGAGGATGCTCATCTTTTGGTGACAACTCTAGAAATGGAAGGATCCTCTCCCACAAAAACAACTGCTAACCTGCCATACTAGTTTCATAATTAGTGATTTTGGAACCCAAAGCTGCTGAAGAATATAACTTCCTTCCCCAAACATCTAACTCACTCCCTTCCCTATTTGTGGGAGCGGAGTGAACGGTCTGACGGACCTTCAGCTGCATCTCCTCTGTGACCAATGAAGATGGGGGATGATGTGTCATCAAGTAGTTAAATGGCTCCTTTTTGATCTTATAAAAATGTTCTACCCTTCTGGAAGTAGGTTGAAGAGAAGCCGGCTTCTGTCAAAGTTCCTGAATGAAGTCTTCAAGGCCTTCCAGTACTAGAAATGCAATAATTCCAGTAAAGGTGACTCAAAATTTTGTCTTTGGGCTTATGCTCTGACATAATAACTTCAGTTTCGAGGGACTGGGCCATAAGGATCATCTGTTTCCCGAACATGCGAAGATACTCTGTAGAAGATTTTGGAGAAGGCTCGTCAACCCTCTCATCTGGGAACAGTTCTGATGTTGTATTGGATCCATCTGATTCCAGTGCCGCTTCTTCTCCCCTGATCGGAATGGGAGAACATGGCCTATAAGGCAGAGTTACTGATGGTGGACAAGATGAGATCCTTTGGGGGTAATGGTACAGACTCGCATCTCTAGGATTTGTGAAGTTGTCACCCCATTCTTCTAAATATCCAGGCGACATCATATACGGATACGATGGCCATCGCAAAGGTGGATGGGGTTGAGCCCACGGAATCGTGGCCATTTGCTCCGGATCGGATTCTGGTGGGCCTGGCCTGGTCTCCATCACTGTCAGATATGGAGATTGGAGGATATCTTGGACCCGGAGACAGGGTCTCGGGTTTCTTCAGCTGGAGGTCCAGATGAGGCTTGATGGGCTCGAGGACCGCGTGACCAAGACTGGATCCATTGAGAGACAGATCTGGGTGATGGAGCGGAGTGCGTTGATTCCAAAGATGCAGAATGGGGAGGCTTTTCTTGAACCAACCTGGGTGGGGGCTCCAAGGCTTTAAGGGCTTTGTCCCACAATGCTGCCTTAAGTTTCAAAGCTCTATCACCCTGCACCTTTGGGGTGAAGTGCTGGCAGATCTTACGTGTGGCGACACTATGCCCCTCACCCAGACAGAACAGACAAAGGTCTTGTTCTTTGGTCTGAGTCATCTTTGCTCCGCATTGGGAGCACTTCGGAAATAGGGCCTTCTGAGCCATGACGATGCCTCAGAAAAAAAAAGTATCTTTACAATCTCAACAAAATCTTTTCAATCTCAGCCAGACTCTAATGCAACAACCAACTCCTTTGGCAGCAAAAGAGGAACTGAGGATAGGGGGGCACTGCTGTGCAGGAGCATATGTCCCTGGGTGGGAACGATCTTGGCTCCAGTGCGCAGCAACCTATGGAGACTCTTAGCTATAAAGACCTATCTGATGGCAGGCCTGCATATGTACAGTCCCCATGTGGGAGTGCACAGAAGACTGATGATGAAAGTCACACTTTTCGTACTATGTTGTACTTCTTTTGCAGTTCCAAAGGAAATGGAAGTAAATGTTGCAAGAAAGGAAAAGAGACATTCCCTTAGGGCTCTCTGCAAATATTTCCACTTTCCTACACTGGCTGCAAAATAGAGAAAAGTCTAGTTGTTTGGGGCTGTGTTCCTGAGGTATTAATAGGCAGTTGGACAAGTGGGAAAGGGGAAAAAGAGCTCAATTACCAAAGAGAACAATTTCTGGCTGGGAGTGTGTGCAAATTTACACATATGCCTACCAGCTCGATTAGCTGAACAAGTTAAAGAAAGTGGGCCAAGTAAACCCACCTCTATAGCAGTTCACAGAACAGAGAGATCCTTACATACAGTTAAGAAATTATTCACAGCTATGTAAACACAGTTTAAAATATAGTTACTTTAATGCATAATTGACCCTTAAGGCTGTGGGTAAAATATTCCTGAGTATAAACCCACACACACACATCAAGAGGATGGAAGTTTTAAAACGGTTTATTGGGGACAAATTTACTGTGGCCAGATTAGTAAAATTACTTAGTGGTAACAATGCCCTACAAGCTAATTAAATACCCTACATGTGGATTAAAATTCCATTGGTAAGAACTGTGTTAGTTTAGAGGGAAGAGAATGTAAAATCTCAGAACCTGGATTTCAGTGTGATATTTGAATTAGGTGTTGTGAAATACCACTTTTTCTCCTTAGTTTTCTTCATATGAAGTCATGGAAATATTTCCACTGAAGTGTGAAAGATTTTGACAGAACTATTTACCAAACAATAAGCATTAATTTAGAAGTAAATAAATATTTTGTTGTCTCCACATTAACAGTGATTACAAAATGATATATAGATTATTGATAGCATACTTACTGAAAGTTTACTTTATCTACTTGAAATCTTGTTTCAAAAATCCCCGATGTCAGAACCCTGCATCTCAAGAGGTCCTGGGAACAAGAATCAGAATTAGACAAGCGGGGGACCTGCAAGGGGCATCTAATTTTCTCCTTCCCCAGCCCCTCTATTTCCCTTCCCTGAAAACCCCCTTAGCCTCATTTCCTGCTCATTTATCTCCTTCACAACCACCAGTAGCTACCTTTACCTGAGCCCACTGTATTCAGTATTCTCTTCTTCCCTAACCATGGCAGCCTCTCTCTGGGAAAAGCTGGCTAATGGGCTGGGCCCAGCTGCATGGCGGGGAGCCCACAAGAACTTGTGAAAGGGACCTCATCCCCCGCCCATTATTTCCCTCTTCCAGGCAACCCCCACATCCTCACCTTTCCTAGCTTCCTTCTCTCATTCCCACTCCACCAAACTCCCTACATTTTATCTGCCCCCCCGCAGCTATAATTATTATTTATTTACTGCATTTATACCCTGTCTTCTCCACAATGGAGACCCAAGCAGCAGCTTACATCGTTCGCTTCCATTTTATCTCAACAACAACCCTGTGAGGAAGATTAGGCTGAGGGTGTGTGACTGGCCCAAGGTCACCCAGCAAGATTTCATGATAGAGTGGGGATCTGAACCTAGGTCTCCCAGATCCTAGTTTGAAACTCTAACCACTACACTACATTGGCTTTCATGGGGTGGCTACAGTTGAGCAGTAGTGAGCAGCTGGGTATGGCTGAGCAATGGAACTGGTCTTGAGGAGGTGTCTTCCCTCAAAGGCCAAATAGCGTTTGGTACTGCATGTGTAACCAATATTTATCTGGTAGTTATTGTATGCGTAACTTATATTTGTTTCTGTGTAACTTACATTTGTTGCTGTATGCAATGCCTTAATGTATGTGATGTGACACCCATTACCTCTTTGTTTTTATCTACAATCTATGAACGTTGTGTTTAGTTACTGTGCACTTTGCAATAAATAGATGTATTTTGTTCTATGTTTTAGCTGCTCAGTCTTCTAGGTTCCTGACTTGATTCTCAGGTTGGGTTCCCCCCACCCCCAAAGGCTTTTTGCTGTGACAGAGCCTGCCTTGAAACTCTTTCAAAGTTTCTGTACGGTTCTGAAATTTGCAGCTGGAATGACAGTACAGTCACATGATTGGAGATAACACACAACTTCATTTTAAGGAGAACTTAGACTCTGTCTGAGGATACAACAGCTGCCTTGTGGCTATCACCAAACAGTGATTGCAATTCCTATCCTATATTATGAACTAATGCCTTACTTGTCTGGCACATTTTCCTACTGGAAATAGGTTACACGGAGTGTTTTTCAAGCGGCAGTTTTAAATGGTTTTTAAATCTGTTTTATTTATTTACCCACCTTGGATCCTGACTTGGTCAGACAAAAGATGGGCGTATATATGTCCTGAATAAATAAATGCATTGAAACTGCATTTGAAATAATGAGTAAAACTGACGTATACTTCATTCCAAACCATTTTCTCTTTTACTCACCTGATCTGTGGGTGTGTAATCAGGCAAGCTGACACTGTCTATTCTTTCTAGAAAGCTGAAAGAAAACATAACTGTTAGGCATGGAAGATCAAACATTAGCCTTCCATCATGTCCTGAACCTCCCCCATTAACCATCTATTATATATGCTAGATAATCTTAGAGGCAGCTTCAAGTTATCAGCCAAAATGAACAAATGTTATTTTCTGTCCACAAAGTAATTCTTGCTGCAGTACAGGGGGCAGAATTTTCAGACAAGCAAAAACTTTCTTGCAAAAGTCCATTCATTCACAATGTTGGGATCACACACCTACAGCAAGGCATCCTTCCCTGCTTTAGTTCTACATTTTGGAATCCCACAAATCCAGCAATAGTTTTATTCTCAGAAGATAGCTACAGACAAGAGACTCAGTTCATAGTGTAAGTGTAAGGTAAAGAAGCAGAATCCTGAGCGTTTTTTCCAGGTAAAGTGTCAATCTGGCAGGATTGGCCCTGATTCAGACAACCTGGATGAGCCGAACCTGTTGTCATGGCAACTAGACAGGCTGGCTGCCAAGAAGAAAGATGTTGGGTGAAATCTACAATGGTTTTTTAAAAAGTAATAGGCAGCAAGCAGGAAGGAAGGCCCGGGCCTTTCCAGAGTATTAGTTTACAGTACAACATGGGCAATTGTTGCTCAGCTGCAAGTTTCAGAGTCCTCCCTTCAAAGAGGTATTTCTCTTTGTACCCAATACTGTTACTGGTAAAATGTACATCTTTCTCAGGCGAGTGGAACCGTTGTGCTCTGACTGGACGTCATAGTGTGAATGTAATAGACACCAAGTGGATAATGCATGTGACATCACTGACAATGAGAAGGCCTGTTCCCCACTGACATGCCTTAAAACAAGATGTGGGCTGGTTCCACACAACTGTTTAGTCTGGAATTGCCATGATTTCTTCTAGCTGCTTTTAGAATGGATCCCCAGGTTGTTTCCCCATCTATTCCAGATCTGATATGTGCTGATTTTTTCTCATGTCATGTATAACTGCAGCATTATCCAGCCGTTTGTGACCTGACAATGTTACAGAGGTGTCCAAGGTCGACTGTCTCTTTAATTCTGTGTTATTGCCTCTTTTTTTAAAAAAATCTCCCAATTCTATAGTTACTTCCTCTCTTGGATCTTGGGTTTCTTTTTTGAGGGGGGATTTACTTGCTTCTTGTTAATTTTGTAGCAAACATGATTATTCATTTAATTTTTAAAATCATCGTAACCCCCTCTTGGACCCACACCTTAATGTGATGAGGGCGTTTGTGCGTGTCATCAGAGCTGTGAGCAATACCGTAAGGGGTCTAGACTCTGTCAAGAAGCTAAACTCCTAGCAGAGTCACTCAAGTCACTGGAAAAGACAATAAGGCTAGGAAAAGTTGAAGGCAGCAGGAAAAGAGGAAGACCCAACATGAGAAGAACTGACTCTGTAAAGGAGGCCACAGCCCTCTGTGTGCAAGAACCTGAGCAAGGCTGTTAACAATTGGACGTTTGGGAGGACATTAATTTATAGGGTCACCATAAGTCAGAGGCAACATAAGTCAGAGGCACTTCACACACACACACACACACACACACACACACTCATACAAAAAGATGATGAAAACGAAACAAATATTAATGAGCATATTTTGCAGTCAAGGAAAAAAGCAGTAAAGCCTCCTCCTTCCCACAACAGTCCTTTAAATTCTCAGCGCTTGTTTTGAAGCTGCTTCCAGTGCTCTGTGCTATTTAATCATTTACTGTTCACTCGATGTAATCCAGCATACCTGAAGGTATTCCTGGAAGGATGGGAGTGAAGGAAGGTCTTAATGAGTGTATTTATCTTGGATCCATAATGTTTTTTTAAAAAAGTTTTCATGATTGTAATTTCATAATTGCATAATAATATTCATGACACAAAGTAATGAACAATCACATTTGGTACAGAGAGAAGAAATGTAGGACAAGAGAATAGATTGAAAACCCATTTAGGAATGCCAGGGCAGTGGCACCACATGTGAACAGGAAGTTAATTAATTAAGCAAAGAGCAGCAGAAATAGCTGGGAAGCAAGCTTAAATAGACAGTTACCTGGAGAAGCAGGACCCTGACTTTGGGGGCAGTCACTGTCCAATTTTTAATTGGAATATAGCACTATATTAAGTGTTGTGTGGAATACTTATTTCAGTTCTGCTTGCAGATGAGTGCAGAAAAGAAATTCTTCAGCAGCACAAAAAGTTCATTCTGCTGCAGATCAGGAAAATGGTGCAAGGGGAGGCTTGAAGTTCCTCTTCCCCTCACCCAATATCCCAATTGAGATCCCATATGCCTGCAATTTTAACAACAGCAGCAACAACACAATGTCTGAAAGCACTAATATGCAGAACTCACAGTCTCATCTTGTTTGGCCCTAAGTGGTCATTCACTATCATGTCTGATATGCTGGCCCAGAGTTCCAATACTCCAAACATCTGGTAAATTTCTAAAGGCCACACAGTGACTAGCTGCAGATCTCTTCTAAGTATATACTTTGGGAATTTAGGATTCACCTATATCACACTTTTATTTGCCATCAGAGTTGCAGATTTGTACACTGCATATTAACTCTTCAAGAGATACTTTTCTTTCTGCTTTCATATACTTAGGTGTAAAACCACGACAGTATTATTAATACTGACCATCATAAAAAGAAAGGCTGACGCCAAATTGATTCAGGGAATTTCTAACAAACTTAAGCGAATGGAACATCTAATATTAAACACATTTTCCTGGGGAGTAAGATTTCAATGGAAAGCACTTCTACGTAAAGCATGCTTTGGGAGTTGTGAATTTCCTGAGGCGTGTAGGGGGTTGAGCTAAATAACTCTATGCTTCTATGTATGGATCACAACTTTAAACAAACAAACAGGTTTTTTAAAATAAGCTTACTCTCTTTCCAAATTTTTCCAGAAGAAAACAAATTTGATTTGTCTAAAATACAACAGTCAACAACAGTATTTTAAAAATCAAATAGCTGAAAACTGTAGAATGGACGAACTCTCTGGCAGTGTGGTGCTAGGCAGAGTTACTCCAATCTACCCACTGAAGCCAGTAGGCTTAGGCCTGGTCTATACAATGAGTAGAATGAGGAGGTAGAGTGCTAAGATAACAGAATGGACAGTATCACTTCAGACTGCATCTGAGGAATTATATTTCTCAACGATCCCCCCCTGTCAGCTAGCTGCCATGTTTTGCTTGTTCCCTTCTCTGATCCTGGCTTGCTCGCTGCTCTGCCGCTTGCAGTAAACATTGCTAGGGAGACCGTGAGAGCCAGTTCTGCCAGACGGCGTTATGTGTCTGGCCTTGTGAAGGAGGGAGGGCTTGCGTTCCACCGATGGTGTGAATCTTTCGGCTCTCATGAGGCACTGCGACGCTCCCGCTTATCATGTATCCTCCCGCCGGGAGAATTCCCGCACGCGCGCTCGAGTTTCATTTGCTTAGCCATTTGCCTCATCCTGCTATATGTAAGGATGTTTCCGCCCCATGGTCATTCCTAACAATAATCCTGTGGATA